TACGCGGTTTTCTGTTCGCAAATATTTCATATTACTTATCTGAAAATTGTCAAATTTATTGTGTACAACTGAGAATGGAGAAGGCATTGGCTGGTACTAACCGATAGACAAAGTCGTCCTCCTTCGAGCAACGCAATTTTCAACTACTCTTGAAATGATTCACTGATGATGGTCCGACTAGAACGAAAACGTTTTGAAAAATTGTATTCCTTTTACATAAATTTTAAACATATTTATTAAAATGTACCAATATATAAATATATAGTAGTATTTACTTTTTTGTAAGTTTTTTTATAAATAAAGCTCCTCTTAGCACTTTGGTTGTAGCTCAACAATCAGGCTGGATAACCACCGAAATGTTTATGAAATGGATTTTCAAAGTCATTGATAAAGTAATTCTACTTGTCAATGGACATACAAGTCATAAAGACGTTGAAACTTGGAATATGCAAAATAAAACGGTACTCATGTATTTTCTCTGCCTAACCATTGCTTTCATCGTATGCGACCTCTTGACGTCCCCTTTTTGTGCTATTGAAGACCTACCATAACCAAAAAGCTGCTCCGGTGCCACTAGGATATTTTATTAGTCGCTAAGAGAAATGTACCTACCTAAACCAAAATTGCAACAGAGGTCGCTGGTGTTGACTTGTTTTCCCTCTATGTTGAATATAATAACATAAAACCTAAAATAAACCCCAAGCTCTCCCAAAAAAGAAAAAACGATACGTTAAAAAAATACACCAAAAAATGATGAGAAAGAAGATTCTCCAAATATTTATCAAAACGATGAAGATCGTTATATTTATATATTAAATATTTATCATAACGATAGGTGATGCATTTACTGTAACAACAACGATCTTTATTCGAGATCGAATCCCAAAGAAGACTGGTGGCTTACAATGTTCGTTCTGAGTTCACGCTTCTTGTGCTGATGTACCAAGAAGAAATTAGAGTTTTATTTGCCAATTATGACAATAAAGCTGTAGATAATATTTGTATGTCATTTTGTTTACTAGCAATATGTCATTTATTCCGAAGCATTGGGACCAAATGGGTTATAATTTATCTCAGCTAAAAATTTGTTTTGTACATTTCTGAAAAATGTTTTTACTAATTTCGATAATGGAAGGACCAAAAGTGATTAATGTAAGTTACCGATGTATGCTGTGAACTACCAATGAAAATTATGATACAAAACAAAAATATATAGATATGTAATTTTGTACACATTTTCGCTAGATCGTAGATAATACGTACATATTTTTTCTATATTCTTATTTTAATTTATGCTGTCTTATCCTATTCTGTGGCAGTTTTTAAAAGCATATACCTACAGACAATTATATTTTTATATAAAGGGCAATACCGCATTGTAATAACAACGCTACAAAAGTAATTCCACTATGAACCAAATGCTTGAAAATTGGTGCACATTGATATCCAAAATTACCTACATAACTGCATTTTCAAAGTAAATACAATATATTTACATTATCATATTATTATGAATATGACATAGGTACATAATTTTTGCCACTTAATAAGTAGATGAGATGAGGCTAATATGGAATAGTCAGGAAATATTAAATACCGAGTTACAGCGCTTTTAGGTGCTATGGGTGGAAATACCATAATAATGATCGAATAATAGGTACTCCCATTATTCTCATGCAGTTAGCGTTGACCGATTGTTATTGTTGTACAACGCGCTACAGAAAAAAGTCTGTTTTTTGATCTCCAAAAGTTTTCGCAAGTAAGTTTTTAAACATTTTAATCTACTACCATACATTTTATTTAAACATACAGTGTAGTTTTACATAGCGTAGTCGTTTGTTAGCTAATCGTGTTTTGTCCATGAGTTTAAAGGTTATTTTTTAAAGATGGCGTGACTGTTATTATAGAATAGTAGGCATTTCATAATATGCGACGTAAAAGTATAGTAGGGACCCGAAGAAATGTAATGAATTAAAGTACCTAAGTTTTCAGTACAATGGCAAAACTAAATAACAATTAATAATTGTATAAATCGTAGGTAATGTAGCCTAATTTAAAATCAAAGTATTTTTTTAAATCTAAATTGATTGAAACGAAAAGAAAAGCAAAATTTTTCTGTTTTTGGTTGTATTTTCTTTATATAAACCTACCTCGTTCATTTGTATCATGGGTTCAGATAGGTTTTGTTTTATTTTTTCAGATATATCGAAAAAGAAGGAAGGCAAGAGAAAAAAGCGAAAGCTTTGGAGTCAGGCGGAGATGGCTTAAGCTATACGATCTGTTCGTGAGAAAAATATGGGGTACCTTAAGCGTCCAAGGAATTCCAGGTTCCCAGAGCGTCTCTTTCGTCTTGTCAACAGTATGAAGAATACCTTATGCACAGGTAACAACATTTACTGCTCTTGGTCGTAAGCCAGTTTTCCGTAAAGAAGTAAAAGATGAGTTGCAAACATTTTTACTTAAGATGGAGGCCATATTCTACGGGCTTAGAAAAAGAGATGTCTGAAGTCTTGCCTATAAACTGGCGGTTCGCAATGACATCTCCCAGCCATTTAAAGATGAATCTGGTTTCTAGAATAAAAGACTGATTTTACACTTTTATGAAAAGGAACCCGAATCTTTCAGTCCGTAAACACAGGGGTACATCTTTTGCCAGAGCTCAGGAATTTTGTTAAGAAGAAGTAGATAAGTTTTTTAACCTGGTCGATATTATTTGCCAAAAACACAACACAACCCGACATAATATATAATGTTGACGAAACTGGTTTATATATTGTTCAAATAAAAAGTTCCTCGTGTAATAGGCCTAAAAGAAAAAAGAAAAATTCGGTCGCTTACTCGTTCTTCCTCTTGTGATATTTCCGAGGAAGAACATGAATGATTACCATTAATGAGCACCCAGAAGTGCTTCTCCAGGGACCATCGCATCATACCACTCGTCTGGTTGGATACAGACAAATATTTTGTTTAAACATTTCATTGTTGTAACAAAACCTTCAGCTGAGACGCCTGTTCTGCTTCTTCCTGACGGGCACATACCCCACAAGCGAAACATTGATGCAATTAATTTGGCAAGGGAAAATCATATTCTTTTATGGGTCCGTTAAAGCCTCACTATAGTGAAGAAGTGCCATCTTTTTAAAGACATAGCTCAAGGCCCTTGAGTATTTTTGATATGATGGAATTGTTTGGCATGGGCTACCTTAAAGTACAACGTGAGAACATAGCAGTAACCGGCTTCAAAATGACTCGTATTTATACTAACAGAATTTTTTTAACAGTCAAAATTTCATTGCTTCTACACTCACTGTTACTAGACCAGAAACTATGAGACCATTTAAAGACCCTTTTCCTTGTTCGTCAACCATTTCTGATTCATTTCAATGCTGTTCTTCTAAAAGTCCTATTGTGGTTTCCCCTGATGTTTCTAAGTCAAAATCGTTTTTCCTTCCGAAAGAGATATCACCACCACCTCTAAAGGAGTAGAAGTCAAATAGAGGCAGAAAAGCTAAATCCTCTTCTATAATAACCTACTCTCCATATAAAAAAGATTTAGAGAATGACCTGAATAAAAAGACCAGAAAAAAACTCAGGAGTTTCAAAAACAACGAAACATAGCAAAAATTCAAAGACCAACTGGTAAGAAACTAAACTTCATTAAGAACTACCACCTTTTAATCCTAAACCTACTAGAGATGATTCCAGTGTAAGCACTGATGGATTATCCTACTCTGATAGATATATTATCTGTAATGGAATTTCTGCTATCAGCTAAAGAACCAGAAAACAAAGACTCTGAAAGATCTTCTATAATAGAAAATTGTCCGAAGATAAACGAAGGGAAATTTGGATTCAACGCTTAAGCTGTCCTTTGTGGGCCCACCGTATGTGTGTAATTTTTGTAAATAGAGTAGAAACAGTAATGACTAGCATATAATATTAAAAATATGGTTTTTATAGTTAAAAATAGTTTTTTTTTCAGTGAATGTTTTATGAACTCTAATTTTTTTTAGTGATTATAATACCGTATTCCATATTACCCGACTAGGTATTTCAGAATATTGTAGAACTATATGTCATTATAACTTTTTTTAAATAAACATTTTTATTAAACAAAATAAATATTTCATTTCCTACTACTTCTTTCATTAGTATGAAGTCGTGCTAATTTTTGGGAATTTTTACTAATAGTAAATTATTTTTAGAAATGTACCTAAATGGTTTTCCTTAATACCCCCTCTCCTTTACCTACCTATCGGTCGATTTAGTGGCCTTTTATTTTGATAACTAATAAAAAATGCTCAGATTCAGTGTCTGCCAAGTAATCTTTTATTTTATGTGAGCTAAAGGGCATTCATAAATAATACCTTTCTAAATGTAAAACAAATTTCAGAATGCTAGCGGTTATTATTCGTCCTAGTTTTCTTATCTAGTTTTATAACATAGTAACAAAACGAAGAACGTCTTGTACTTATGACTTTTTTAATAGTCTACTAAAATTGATATTAACTGAGGGTAAATTAAGCATCAACTAAATAAATTCCCTCGCTGCCAGTCAAAATCCCATTCCAGAATTCCGCCAGTCTTGCCTACATAAAATTAACTTGCTAAAGCATCTTTATAGTCTCAATAAAAATATAATCAATACAGCATAAGCTGTATAGCGCTCGGTAGAAGCCACCCGTTATTAAGGTTGGAACAATAATAGTCCATATATCCACTTTAATAGATGCCGACATCTACTTAGAGTTCATAAAGAGTATTTCGAACGAAAATGACCCCAACCGCTTCTATGATTACGTTCTAGTAGGCGGTACGCCCAATCACTGATCGATGCCCACACAACCAACCAGCGTTCTCTAGAACTCCGCCTACGGTTATCGGCTAAATATTCAACCACCAGTATAGGGTCCCTTGCTCTTCACCAGGACTTAGTATAACAACTGCTTGTAGTAATTTCGGTCGGTTGGTTTTGGTTTATGCACAACCACGCTTTTAAAATGTACCATCAAAGTGATCAGAAAAATAATGCCGTAGTGTTGGACGTTATTCCGCCTCATTATAATTTGCATCATGGACAAACAAGTCCATCACATTCTCCAAATCAACAGTACAGCAAAGGTAAGTCAATAAAATTTGTCAATATGTAATTACAGGGACATGCAATTACAGTTTTAAGAAATTTGAATGTCTGAAAATAAAGGTTTTTATTTAGTGCAAAATTAAAAAATTGGTGCCTAGGTATCTGTATTTCTAACTCTAATTATGGAATACAAGGGATTTTTGGAATTGTTTTTTATAAAATACTAGCTTAATCTTTTTTTAATTTCTGTAGTAGTTACACACTTTTTTCCTAGTTTCCTGTTCATGTCGTGAATGTATGATTAGGCCTCATATGGATTATTGTTTATAAAAATTTTGTCCCGTCAATCATATCTATATCAATGTTTTCTATTATTATGCATCATGAACTTGGTTAGAGATGCTTTGTAATTCGCATTATAGCAACTCTTAGAAAGTCGAATGACCCGTTTTCATGTTAAACGAGTAGGTACATCTTGATTTACGCATGTTTTCTCGTCCGTCGGATTATTGTCCCATATTTTATATTAACGTTAAATAATTATTAAATTTTTCTTCTTGACTACCAAATATTGTTTATTTATTTTAAGTAATATGAGTAGGAAATATCGATCGATATATTTTATCTGTGTAAATCAATCTCCGTAGACTTCAAGTTGATAATGTTCAAAAAATAGTTGTTAACAACTTCAAATGTTTTTTTTACCTGTTCAGATCTGTTCTGCCATTTGTTTTTATAGCATTTAGTGATTCTCTATATCTGGTTATGATAGATAGACTTTTAACTTATATCGCCATCAACAGTCAATATTGATTTCTTTTCAGTAGGTACGAGAAAATTAATCTTTCATTAAAATAAGATTTTTGAATCAAATAATGTTTCAAATCAATTATGCAAATTAACTTCGTTCTCTAAAAACTTTCTATTTTGTATTTTGAGTAGGGGGTAGGATTTAAAATGAGTTAGTAGAATGTGTCCACTATACACCACAATTTTTTATTTGATCTACATATTTACATATTACGTATTAGTGTATAAAGTACAGATAACCATTTAAATAGATAACTGCAGATTATCTATTCCCGCACATACTTACGTAGGTATTAAATGGTAACAATTATATCTACAGAGTTACAGACCCTTTCTTGTAGATTTAACCATACAAGAGAATAGAAAAAGGTTACAAAAATAAAACTGCTTAGGAAAAATTTGCCAAATTCATATTTTGTTTTTCAATTGTTTGTGCTTTTTTCATCAAATGATCATTTGGAACCAATCTCTGAGAACATAATTTGTAGCAGTAGGTTAAGTTTTATTTTTACTTTTTTTATGAAAATACATTGCATATATTATATATGTAATCACTAATCACAACCTTTTCATTTTCACTTTTTTAATGAAGCTTCTTTGTACATTGAAACACTCAAATTATGTGAGTGTTTTTCCGATCCAAAAATTTCGATTTTCTTAAGGTTTATTCTCGAGATTCCCATCTATTGGTGAATACTATGCAGCCATGACATCTTTGTCCTTCCTAGATTTTTCTTACCCAGTTACTTATCCGAGACCTTACACAGCAGATTATTGTTGCCGTTTACCACATCTTAACTGCGATTTCTTCTGTCATATATATCTTGTTTAGTTAGGTTCCGTTTTCCATTGCTGTTTTGATTTTTTTTGTTCCACTGTAATCTAGGACGTCCTCTTTTCCTCCTTGTGTTTGATTTCCTTTTTTAGCTGTATTTTCAAGTTTTTAGCGCTATTCTTGTTTCGTTCATCGTTCGCATATTATGTCCATACAAGAGTAATTTTCGTTTTTCTACTTTATCTTTCAGATTTATTAGTTCTCTAATTCGTTCATTTCGCACTTTGTCCATTAGTGTTATTCTGCAGCGTCTTCTCCAAAACATAATTTTCTTTGCATTTAGGTATTATATTTTCCATTCTTTTGTTTGTCACCCACATCTCTCAGGCATACAGTAAACAGCTTTACCCTATTATCCTTTTATAGTACCTACTTAGAGCATTGGTCGCAGGCACCATATTTCAAAAATTTCGTTTGTTAATGGATCTGGCCTTTAACGGCCATGTTTCTTAATTGTAAAACCTGAGCCTCTTGTATCTGAATAACATCAAAAATTACTTCGCTCCCTCGCTCGCACCTCTAACCTTAGCTGTTTCGATTAATTTTGATTATCACGTCAGTATCTAAAATCCAGATCACAAAAATCTTGCTGATTCGTAATCAGTGCCATCAGTGTTACCATAAAATATCTTTTCAGGAACCAAACATTTCCATCAAAAAGAATATTCGAACTCGGTACTTGACTTATGAGAACAGTTTTAAGAAGGCACTACATGCTGAACTGTAAATGAGTCCCATTAATTAGCTCTATTGTCAAACATACGGTTCCTTTCAGTAAAAACTAATAATTTTTTATTTTGTTTCAGACTGTTCCAGTCCAGTAAGTCACGATATTAAAACTGGTACTCCAACAAGTCCTTCAGCCGTATCAGATCCTAATATTAGACGATACCGAACAGCTTTCACAAGAGAACAACTAGCTCGATTGGAGAAAGAATTCTATAAAGAGAATTATGTCTCCAGACCAAGACGATGTGAACTGGCAGCTCAGTTGAATTTACCAGAGAGTACTATTAAGGTAAGGTATTTAAGATGTTAGAACTACAATAATATTAAGAAATAAATTGTTGTAATTTTCTTTATCTCCAACCTATAAGTTAGTTTTTGTATTTATTTTGTATTGAGTAATTTCTTAATGAAATAGTAACTAGCAATACTTATTTTAATATGGTTACACGTAAACTCATTACCGATTAGCCTAAATGAACTCGTAGATAGTACAAACCCATCACCGGAATGAACCAAGAATACCTACTTATAGAAATAGACCCGGAGAGATTTTCAAACTGATCGCTGACCTACCAACGCCCTGAAATACCATAAAATGCTTGCAAGCCGCTAAGTCCGGAATAACTCAAGTCCGAATGTAGATATTAAATGCAAATACAATGCATTGGCTTATATAATATTTGGAAATTTCACTTTATTCTATTATTTATATTTGTATTCTTTATTTTTATCATGGATAGTGAATTGTCCATTGATTACCTTTAATACGCCTAAAAGAGTTACTCACCGTGAGACATCCGATATAAATATAAAGATTAGTTAAATTTTAAAGCAATTTGTTTAACTACTTTCTGAATTTTATAGGTTACCACGTAAACAAGTGTAACAGGTAACAGGCAATCTTCCTCATTAGAAACCAGCGCCTTAGGGCAAAAATACTGGTGATGAGTTAACCTGCCTGCGGTGATGTATTTACGGGTCTCCAAAGGATACCGGTGATCAGTTTGGTATACCTCAGAAGGTCTTATAATTTTATGGGGAAATATGAGTTGAGTTCGTACATATCCTTTGGGATACCCGGTACCGGTACCAATTCTGAGAAATTGTTTGAATAAAAGTACCTTGAAACGTTCTGAGAAATGTGAACTTGACGTAAAAGCACGAAAAGGAGGAATACTTAAATCAACCAAACAAAAATGCTGTAAGTTATAGGAAGTTCTAACAGTTCTAAAGTGGATCAAAATATGCAACATCGGTAGTACCTATAATTAATATGCATCATAAAAGACGAAAAGATAACTTAAATTGCTAGATTTAGGATTGCTAGGTACTAAAACTCAGATATAAAGTTAAATAAATCAAGAACAGATAAAACAATGAAATTCTACACTTTAAACGTTTTAATTTCAGTTTTCAAGCTGTCTACACTTTCTAAATTTTTAACCTCTATTCAAGTTTTATTTTCCCTTGAGTTTTATAACAAACCAACTTATTATATTGTAGAAGTAACCCCTTCTGACATCTTGACTCCATTTCTTCTTCTTGGTGCTGTATTTCCGACTTTCTTCTGATTATTACCAAATTTTGATCTTAGTTTTGTAGGTACTGCAACCCATACCATAATAGAATTGCATTTTCCAAACATTTTAGAGCATTCTTCCTTTAGATATTAAAAAAACCCGACAGTCACGTTTTGAATCTCTTTAATTTTTAAGTATATTGTTTCCATTTGAACTTTTTAGATATTTACATTGTTTTTACAGTTATTATTCTTAAAACATATATCCAAACATGTATTGTGAATCTGTATACTGTGTATAATGAACAATGAAGAACATTGCGACGGGTTACCGCCTTTTAAGTACTTAGCACGTAATAAAAGATATCATACAGTCTTATCTGTCCATTAGCCTACCAGGCAGCCGACAACTTGAGACATGTTTTTATAATGCTCAAATTAGTATATTGTCGGTACGTTTGAAGTGTTTAAAAGGTTTATAAATGTTTTATTTAACCAAGTATAATGTGCTAATTGCCAGAACAGCTTACAGCCAATAATAAACTCTAATGCGTTTGCCTTACCAGAAGTATAAAATCAATTAAAAAAATTAATATTGCTTTTATTGATGTGTTGTTCGAATTTAAAGTTGTAAGACAAGAAAAATTTATTAATGGGCGATTTCGTCATATCAAACACAAATACAAGGATTGTTTGTTATAAAATATTCAAATTTTTGAAGATATTTTAATAAATTTGGTACTGGTTTTTCGTAACCATTACCTCCTTTAGAGATAATTTCGTTTGTTTTAATTTAAATCCTCAAATCATATTATTGTTCTTGCTAATTTTCTCAGTTTATTCTATTTTTTATTTTATTTTTGTTCAATCTGTTTTATTGAATGGAAGTATTTTTATTAAACGATGTAATAGAATTCGTGGACTTTTTAGATTACGAAATTCACATAAATTTTGGGATATATTTATTTATAATTTTATACTAATAAAACCAAGTACATCTAATACAAAATCATTATTTATTTGATCCATTAGCTTCCCTTTTCACACCTTTCAATGGAAGTTTACCTAGTCTTAATTATTACGAATTTATAGACTACAAATTAACTGGCAAATTACTACTATTACCTTATCCATTTTGTAAAACTGTATATTTTTAACTGTATTTTTATTCTTTGTTACAGGTGTGGTTTCAAAACAGACGGATGAAAGACAAACGTCAACGTATGGCAATAGCATGGCCGTACGCAGCAGTGTACACAGATCCAGCTTTCGCTGCGTCTCTTTTACAAGCAGCTGCTTCATCTCTACCTCTACACTATCCACCACCGCCACCAGTATATACACCTCATTATCCTAGATACCACCCATATCCCAGCTTTGGAATACCAGCTCTGGCCACTCATCCCTTAGGTGTTCAACAGAACGTTGGAGTTGGCGGTGCACCTATTCCACAACAGATGCACCACGCTCAAGGATTGAACCTCAACCTGAACTTCGATTTTCCTCAGGCCTACCAATCGCAGCAGCCAAAGATCTCACCTCACTCACCCGTACAGTCTGATATTAGTCTCAGCCCGCCTACCCACGAAGGACTTCTTATACAAGCTCCGAAGGTTTCACCTCAGACACACGTACCGGTTGGTGAAAAACCTAAATTATTTAAGCCTTATAAATCTGAAGTTTAATCTCATATTTCTATTTATATTATTTTGTGATCTTCGTGGTAATTTTTAGTTATTATTGAATGAGGCATCTAAAATTGGCGATATTATTTAAATATTTTAATATTAAAATTCAAAGGTGTATATACTTTTTGGTTAAAAAAAAAACTCATAGCACTCAGTTAATGCCATGTTTTTTACAAATCATTTAATGTTCGATGATTTGTGTTTTTTCCTTTATTAATGTCATTTTAGGATAAGACTTGCTGTTATAGTACACCTAATAATAATTTTCTATAATTTAGCCCAAATTAAGCTTCTTAGCAATATTATATTTCAAAAATCAATATATTTTCAACAATCATCTACAGGTAAAAGCTTCGATCTTTCGTTATATTTTATAATTTACTTTTTCTAAATGCTTATTCCGGTAAAATATGCACTTTGTTTTTTACGTAATTATTCTGGTAATAATTAAATTATAGCCAAGTTAATATTATTTATATTTATATGAGCGCTATTTTTAGATGTCAAATTTTAAATGTTTGTAAATGATTTCTTGTTTTATTACATATTTTAACTTATTTGTATATATTATTGTTGATATTTGTAAGTAAATAAATATTAAAATTAAACCATATAAGACTAACTGGTTTCTGTGCCCCACCAATATAGTATACCTATATTTAAACCAAAATTAAGACTAGATTACCAGAAGTTTATTAATTAACTGGTTTCTATGCCACACCAATGTTGTATACTAGACACAATATTTAGAATTATTAATGCAGAAGCTACTAAAATAAAGTAGTATCAATCTAGTATTGTTTACACGGGTTGCATTCCAACCAAGTACCTTATTGTACATTTTTCATTAAGTACAGATCTGCTATATGTTTTTCGCCAAAAACAGATATATCTTTTATGTGAATCGAAAGATCTTGTATCAAGGTGACTTGGAACTTTTCTAATTCTGCGGAAGCTGCCTAATTGTGAAGATAACGGTTGGAATGTAGGAATCTGATTGGGGTCATTGCGATCAAATAATCTAACGATACTGTTCTTGTAATGTCGAGATTGCAATTTTAATAGACGTCTATTTCGTTTGATTATACTCTGGTGAAATCTAGATGTAAAAATGTAAGAAAAGGAATAAAAATATATCCGGTATAAGTATATGTGATCACGACCACGTGGTAGGAAATTTAGATATCAGCATTAAGAATAGAAACAACAAGTGGCTCCACAAAGATCAATTTGAGAAATTTTGATAATGTAAAGATATAGATTGTTTAAAATATAAAATCAAAAAGAGAGAAAAATATAAATGATTTTTGTGCACAAATAAATTTCAGTTGAACTATTTAAGTGAAATAAGAAATGAAAGGATACCTATTTAAACCTAGTAATGAAAAATAAATGGATTACTAAAAAAATAATTTCAGCAATGAACTTTCGCAAACTATACAAGTAGGTATAAGATGTCCGAGAAACAGTCAGGCCATTTTATTTCATCTTCATTATCATGATGCTACAGCACTTATAGGTAGGGTGACCATAATTTTTCAACAAAAAAAAAAGTACATTTATAATTTTTAAGAAAATATGTACACTACTAGTGCCCTAGGAAATTTTTCTGGTCAAAATTTTACGAATCTTTAATGAAACAATGACAAGAACGATTTTTTTAATCAAACATAAGTACATAAAAAATGTATGATAAATTTTAAATAGTTAATTTTCTTTCGACGTTCCTTTCTGAACATCTTGATCATCATTTTGGTACCAGTCGTACTTTTTGGAACTATGAATTTCCTTCAGAAGTTGTGGTTTACTCTTTAAGAACTGAAACATTTCATTACACGAAACTTTGAAGTTTGTGTAGACTTGCATGATGGCTTCCAGACTAAATATTTTCAACTGCGATTTGTTGGGACTCCAATAGTTATTGATATTTGAGAACAACCGCTCAATCGACGCACTGGTCCCGGCAGGCAAAAAACAAACTCACATAGAATTTTGAGATTTTTCAAAGCCCTTTCTTTTTGGAAAATTTCGAGCCATCGATCTTCGGTAGAAATATTTTTCGAATTCCAGTCTGTGATTTTATTTTCTGTAACGTAGGTTCGTATTTGACTAACTTCATCAAACAGCTCGTCCTGATTCAATATCGGACTTACGTAGTTGAAAGCCTCACACGACGATAAAATTTCAGCCCAAGAAACTTGTTTTTTCAAGTTAACTCATCCAAATAGCTTTAGTTAACTTAAATTTTCACTCCAGTTTTTCAAATATGTTACACAATTTGAATAGAACTGCTTGACATGCGTGATAAAGATATCCCGATAGTTCACACTAAGGTCAAGGTCTTCCATATTTTCAAGCTTTGAAAGGGATTCTCTTATTTTAAGCGGCAAAAATAACTTATTTGAGCAATTTTGAAGCATATTTTTAAGTTCGAAATACTCTAAAGCGGCTTTCGTTGCGCATATTTTGTCACCTACATCTAAAATCACTTTGTGGAAGAGAGACGCAATGTTATGCACAAACCACATCCATGCTTCACTGATTGGCTTTTAAAAAAAACTGTTTTAGAACTGTTGGACAATTATCAATCGACAAAAAATATGCTTTCAAGGGTTCGAACATTTGTATAATTGGTTCAATGGCTGGCATTAGGCTCAAACATCTTGTTTTTGAAAACGACAACATTTTTTGTACTCGATATCAACAAAATCGTAAAACTGTTTTAATTTCTTCACTCTGATTGTAAAATTATAGTAATACTTAAAAATCTTGACCGCTATAACCTCGATGTCTATGGGTAAGACGACCGTCGCATTTTGTAAACAGTTATTAAAAATGTGTGCCACACAACCAATTCTAATCGCGGGTTTACCACGAGAAGCATTTAATTTGCTGAATAGATTATTCACTCATTTTTTTCTCATTCCACCAAAATTTGTATTTGTATTATCAGCAGACATTCCGATGAATTTTTGTAGTAAATTATGGTGGTTCAAAACATTGACCACGTAATCTTTTAACTGCTCTGATGTTTTACCAGGTAAGTCACGTAGCTGAAGTAATTTTACTTGGACACCATTTTCTCCATCAAAATATCTTACCATTAAGGGTACAACTTTAATTTCTCTATGATTCGACGAATCGATTGCGATGCTGATGAAATTTGCTTTTCGAAGGTCAATTTCTAATTGGGATTGAGCCTCTTGAGCTAAAACATTTTTTACGATCGCCTCAGTCTTGGTTCGAGCTGCCGCAAATTTACAACTAGTTTTGACGTGCAGTCTAAGGATCTGAAACTTTGCAAATGCTTAATTTTATGGTAAGCAAAAGTACCTTCCTTGGCAGCAATCAACATATTTTCAGAACTTAAATTTGCTTTTTTAACAAAGGTTTCCAATTTGCTGCTCTTCGAGTTCGCATTAGTAGCCAACATGTGTTTTTTCTTTGACAAATGTTGTTTGATATTACTGCGACCACTGTTATAAATATCAACATCAGTTTTACAAACTTGGCAAAACACAATATGCAGTGAAACATTTGATTTTTGTTTCATAAAAGGATACTCTGCTTGCAACTCGACGTTGAAATAGCATTTTCTTCTAGGCGGTGACATGATGAAATTGTTTATTTTTCCACACAGCACAAAATAATATAAAAAATAAGAAAAAGTGTCGGAATTTAAGACAAAAGGTTAATTAACAGACTAATCAACAGTGAGCGCATCAATTCGAATTATAATTATATTCTGTTTGGACAAAACGTAGAACTTAATTTTGTGTAATTAAGAAAAAGAGTACATTTGGGTGTACTTCATAAATTTTAAAGTTCAATAGAACAGCGTTTGAAAAGAAAGTACTGTCCTACTAAAAAAGTACATATGGTCACCCTACTTATAGGGCATCGGCCTTCTAAAGCTTTATTTGCCATTCTGCTCTGTCCCTTGCTTGGATTTTCCAGTTGGCAACACGATCTTCCCACTATTCTGTGTTACCCCGTCTTCTCATTCCCACCGGTTTGGCTGTTAGAATCTTTTTCATCATGTTCGACCATTTTGGTTATAAATTTAGTTATAATTTTAAAATATCCCACAAATTTTTATTTGATGCTTGCCACACAATTCCCTTGCCATTAAGGACTATTAAATTTTCATGAAATTTCAGCATATATTCTAGTCTAGGTAATTTTTATGTTTTATTTTTAGGGTTTTTTATTTGTATTGTGGTAGTAAATTATAAAAGATATTCAGTATACTCTAAAAAATGCATGGAGTTCACCTTCTGGTTTTCCTATTACAGCAAATTTTCTGAGACAGTTGGTCAAACTTATGTACAGTCCCCTTGGTTAAGCTATTTATCTGGAGTATTTCGGGCTTCGTTATTTCATTATTGAAGCCTCCAGAAAAGTAGATCTTCTACATATTTGAAAGTGAACTCTCTTTTTTTTGGAGTTTTCGTAGAATTGTCAAATTGTAAGAGGGAGATAATCGCTAATCAATATAATAATTAGGAAATATTAATAATTTTCTAGACGGGTGCTGGAAAATTAGTTATCCATTGTCACATTACGTCTACTTCCATGTAAGACTCGTAACAAAATGTTTTGCTACGGAAATATCGCTGATTCTAGTAAATTTACCAAGATACAGTGTACCTGCCACAAAATCCTAGGAGCTGTTTGTCGATGATAACATATGAGTTAGCTTTGTGACTTTGGCCCCAGTTTTTAATAAAGAAGTTCCAAATTTTAGATATTGGATTATTTAAAGTTAAATCTTTCTTTGCTCATAATTACTTTATACTTGTCGGCGCAATAATTGCAGTCAAACAAAACATCATCAGCTGAGAGGTGATTATTTTTAGAGCCAACCTAACAGCGTTTTCAGTTCAGGTAATATCATATCTGAATATGTATTTGAAACAGTATCATTTTTAGTTTTGTATCTACAAGCTCTCTGGCATCTTGATCTGAATTGGATGGACCTGGCCGGATATATTCTAGATGCGACTTTATAGTCTTTATCATTTGTGGGCACCTACTAAAGGTTATAGCAGGTTTTTACCTACTAAAGA